CTCCAACTCAAAAAAAAAAAAAAAAATAGAGATACCATCAGTGTCCCTCCATAGGGGACTCGTTAGACTGGGGGTCGGCAAACAACACCCCAATGCCTGATTTTTTTTAAAATTCAGAGTCACATTCTGTTCCCCAGACTGGAGTGCAGTGGCACCGTCATGGCTCACCACAGCCTCGACCTCCTGCCACTGCAGCCTCCTGAGTAGCTGGGGCTGCAGGTGCATGCCACCACGTCCAGCAAATTTTTTTGATTTTTTTTTGTAGCGCCGAGGTTTTGCTATGTTGCCCAGGCGGGTCTTGAACTCCTGAGCTCAAAAGATCCTTTTGCCTTGGCCTCCCAAAGTGCTGGGATTACAGACATGAGCCACTGTGCCTGGCTATCGCTTTATTTTAAAAAGCAGTTATAAGAAGGCACATTCCTGGGTTTGTGAAAGGCTTGAGTGTCCCTGAAAGGAGAATCTGGGCCCTGGTGAGAAAGGCTGCTGTGAGGGAAAGTTGGGAGGACAGACAGTTTCCAGACATCCCTTCGGGGCCTGTTGTGAGTTTTGAACTAGGTAAATAGGTCATCCATTCAAGTTAAACTGGGCTGGGTGCAATGGCTCACACCTGTAATTCTAGCTCTTTGGGAGGCCGAGGCAGGAGGATTGCTTGAGTCCAGCAGTTCAAGATCAGCCTAGGCAACATAGTGAGACCTCATCTCTACCAAAAAAATAAAAAAATCAGCTGGGCACGAGGTGGAAGGATTGCCTGAGCACAGGACTTCGAGGCTGCGGTGAGCCATGGATGGTGCCACCGTACTCCAGCCCGGGGGACAGAGTGAGACCCCAGACTCAAAAAAAAACACAAAAAAACCAACCAAAACGTTTTAAGTAAAAATGCTATGCAGCTTGTAAGAAATGGGGCTCAGCTGGGCTCGGTGGCTCAGCCTGTAATCTCATACCTTTGGGAGGCTGAGGTGAGTGGATTGCCTGAGCCCATGGGTTTGAGACCCACCTGGGCAGCAAGACTTCATCTCTACAGTAAATCAAAAAATCAGCCGGGCGTGGTAGCGCGCGCCTGTAATTCTGGCTACTTGGAAGGCTGAGGCAGAAGGATCGCCGGAGCCCAGCAGGTCGAGGCTGCGGTGGCCGGGAGCGGCCACTGCACTCCAGTCTGGTCGACAAAGTGAGACTCCAACTCAAAAAAAAAAAAAAAAAAAAAGAAATGGGGCTCATTCAATGATCATCTCAGAAAACTAAGCAGATCCTAAGCCTAGGGAAGCCACAGCTGTCACCACCACCCATCTTTGGGCTCCTGGATCCTCCTAGGGGATATTCCGATGGGTCATGGAGCAGGGGCTCATGGGATCTCAGCACTGCTACCCAGGCCTGCACCTTCCGGCGGCTTCCCCGGGACTCAGAGCCACCCTCTCAGCCACGGCTTCGAGTTGCACCTTGGGCCTTTGCCGTGCTGTGCTTTTCGCCTGGACGCCCTTCCTCCTGGGCACAGGACTCAAATCCAGCCCTGGCGTGTGCGCCAAGAGGCCCCATCACTAATCCAGGAACCAACCATTTCCCTGGCAGGAGCGGGAGGTCAGAGGGCTCAGGCCCTGCTGGCCATACCCACGGCTGCGGGCACTACAGGACTGGGAGCGATGTGGCAGGCACAGGGACCCAGGCTACCCACCCTGGGGGCCATGGCTCCCTCCTTTCAGTCCTGCCCGGCTCTGCCCACCGGATGGCGACATCTGAAGCCGGGAAGGCAGGACGCGGGACCCCCCCCAGATGCCTCCAGACCCCTCACCAGCATGCACACGACACGAGGTCATAGCTTACAGCAGCCTGGACCTTCTGGACTCAAGTGATCCTCCCACCTCAGCCTCCTGAGCAGCTGGGACTACATGCATGCCACCATGCCCGGAGGATGTTTCTTTGTTTGTTTTTTGAGTTGGAGTCTCACTCTGTCGCCCAGACTGGAGTGCAGCGGCCGCTCCCGGCCACCGCAGCCTCGACCTGCTGGGCTCTGGCAATCCTTCCGTCTCAGCCTTCCGAGTAGCCGAATTACAGGAGCGCGCTACCACGCCCGGCTGATTTTTTGATTTATTGTAGAGATGAGGTCTCGCCAAGTTACCCAGGCGGGTCTCGAACCCGCGGGCTCAGGCAATCCTCTCACCTCAGCCTCCCAAAGGTGCAGGATTACAGGCTGAGCCACCGAGCCCGGCTCGGAGGACGTTTTTAACCTTTGTAGAAATGGGGTCTTGCTATGGTGCCCAGATAGGTCTCAAACTCCTGGCCTCAAATAATCCTCCCACCCTGGCCTCCCAAAGCGCTGGGATTGCAGGCATGAGCCACTGCACTCAGTTCACAGTTCAGTCAATACTGACTCTGCTCAGCCCCTTCCTCCGGGCCCGAGACCCCCACCCAGGGCAGAAGGAGGCCCCAGGACCCACCAGGCAGGAACCAGCCGGCGATGCGCCCTTACCTGATTGGCTTTCTCCAGGTTGGTCATGATCAGGCCGACTTCATCTGCCCTGAGACGCAAAGATGAGGGCCCTAAGGAAAGGCTCTGGCAGCCTCAGGCCTGCCCATCCTGATAGGCTCCGCCCCTGCCTGGACCCGGGAGGGCTGAGGGGGCTGTCTCCCCCCGGCTAGAGGCGAGAAGTCAGGCGGTGAGCAAAGAACCCAGGCTGCGGGGAAACGGGAGCGAGGCCTCAGCCTGCCCCCTTCCAGGCAGCTGGGCCTCCCATGTCCACCCGGGGCCACCCTGAAGAGCTGGCCTTGGTCTTTGCCCCTCTGGCCCTTCCATCTGGAGCATCCTTCCTCAAGGGCACAGGCTGGGCTTCCGACCCAGCTGGCAGTGTGCCCTGGGAGGGCTCCCCTACCCCGATGGTCACTCGGTTATTGTGCTGTCCACACATGCAGACTGCCTGGGACAGAACCCTCTGCCAGGCACAGGGCGGGGGACACTGGAGCCCGTGGGAGCATGCGGAGACTAGAGGCCACACGCGTACTTCGTGTGTGTGCCCAGACCCTGCCTTCCTATAAGGAGTTCTTCACATGGCCGTCCCGAAAGCCACCTCCTCCAGGAAGTCACTCCTGACTACCCTGGATAAAGGATCCACCCCTCCTTGTTACCATTGCTTCCTGTCCCTAGTTCTTCCCTCTGTAGCACTGGCCATGTGCAGATAACATGCTGGGCGCACAGCAAGTGCTAACAGCAACTGTAATTGACGGAATGTGTCACAGCACACGTTTCCGCCTGTCTCCTCTCCTCGACCAAGGACAGGGTCATGTTTTCATGCCACCGCCAGGGACCCAGCACAGCACCAGGTAACGAGGGGGTGCTCAACAAGCCTTTGCAGACGAGGGAGGTCTTAAAGCCTGAAGAGCGCTGAGTCCCAGTAACCGAGGCGAGCGAGCGCCACTCAGCCCCTGAGGGCTGCCTGTGGGGCCGGGAGCCAAGACACCCCGGGAGGCGGGGCAAGGTGGAGGCCCCCGCCAGCAGCCCCCCTCAGCCTCGGCCTCGGGACGTTATTGGAGGGACAGAAGGAGGCGCTGTGTCTGAAAGGACAGAGGGAGGGGCAAGCCCTGAAGGGGCAGGGGGAGGAGGTGAGTCCCGGAGGGTCAGAGGAAAGAGGCATGTCTAGGAGGGCCAGAGGGAGGAGGCGAGTCCTGGAGGGTCGGACGGAGGAGACAAATCCTGGAAGGTCAGAGGGAGGAGGTGAGCCCTGAAAGGTCAGAGGGAAGAGACATGTCTAGGAGGATCAGAAGGAAGGCGCAAGTCCTGGAGGGTCGGAGGAAGGAGGTGAGTTCTGGAGGGTCAGAGGGAGGAGGTGAGTCCCAAAGGGTCAGAGAGAAGAGGCATGTCTAGGAGGGTCAGAAGGAGGAGGCAGGTTCTGAAGGGCTGGAGAGAGGAGGTGAGTCCTGCAGGTTCAGAGGAAAGAGGCATGTCTAGGAGGGTCAGAGGGAGGAAGTGATTCCTGGAGGGTCAGACGGAGGAGACAAATCCTGGAAGGTCAGAGGGAGGAGGTGAGCCCTAAAAGGTCAGAGGGAAGAGGCAAGTCCTGGAGGGTAGGAGGAAGGAGGTGAGTCCTGTCGGGTCAGAGAGAAGAGGCACGTCTAGGAGGGTCAGAAGGAGGAGGCAGGTTCTGAAGGGCTGGAGAGAGGAGGTGAGTCCTGCAGGTTCAGAGGAAAGAGGCATGTCTAGGAGGGTCAGAGGGAGGAAGTGATTCCTGGAGGGTCAGACGGAGGAGACAAATCCTGGAAGGTCAGAGGGAGGAGGTGAGCCCTAAAAGGTCAGAGGGAAGAGGCAAGTCCTGGAGGGTAGGAGGAAGGAGGTGAGTCCTGTCGGGTCAGAGAGAAGAGGCACGTCTAGGAGGGTCAGAAGGAGGAGGCGAGTCCTGCAAGGTCAAAGGGAAGAGGAATGTCTAAGAGGGTCAGATGGAGGCGAGTCCTAGAGGGTCAAAGGGAGGAGACAAATCCTGGAAGGTCAGAGGGAGGAGGTGAGTCCTAAAGAGTCAGAGGGAAGAGGCACGTCTAGGAGGGCCAGAGGGAGGAGGCGAGTCCTGGAGGGTCAGAGGGAGGAGGCGCCCTCAGCAGGTGCTCACTTACTTGGACGCGGCCTCCTCGTCATATTTCCGCCGCAGCTCTAGCAGCTCTGCCTGCGTGGCCTTCAGCGCTGGGGACGCAAGGCGACAGGTGAGGCGGCACCCCGAGTGGGACGGGGCTGGGCCTCCAGGGAGCGGAACCCTGTCCCGCAGGCAGTGTGGGGGTCGGGGAGCGAGGAGACTCTCTTGGTCAGAGCTGGCGGCAGGCAGTGAGCTCCCTGCCCCAGCGGGTGCCAGGCTGGGGAGGGCCGAGGGGCGGCCAGTGGCCCGGGCAGGGCAGATGACGAGCCTGTGGTCTGGGAGGCGCAGGGGGCCCGGGTCTGGGGCGGGGCCGTCCGGCCTGGGGTCCAAGCCCCTAACACCCTTGAGCCCCTCCAGGCCCCGGACAGGCCGACCATCCCTGAGCTCAGCCCACCCGAGGCTCCGATCAGGCAGGCGAGGGCCATGGGGAGAGGCAACACAAATAAATAAAAGACAAAATAAATAAAAGTAAAATCAATACACACAGATGCACGTATATTCAAACGGATGGGAGGCTTCCCGGGAATTCCAGATTTCTGATTTCTCAGGCAAATGGAAGGGCTGGCCGTGGTGAACACATGGTGGGGCCCAGCCGGTGCCGGCCAGTAGCTGTTTTGGTAGCGAGGCCTGACCTCTCCAGTTAGCCCCAGACCACACCCTTCCTCATTGCCTTCCTACCCAGCCGCTCGGTCACGAGTTGGCTCCCATAGGCATCACGTGTGCCACCAGCTAAAATTCCATCTCAAGTCCTCTTTCCACAGTGATACGGCCCCCGGGGACGGGTGGCTCAGAGCCAATCTTCTCTCTCTCTTCGCAGACTCCCCTTCTGCCCCCTGAGTCTAGGACACCAGAGCGTGGCAGACCCAAGCAGTGTCTGGTGCTCACAGCTCTGCCCCTCAGCCCTCCCTCGGGGCCGCTGGGCCTGGCCGGGCCGCTGCCCGTGCCGCTGCCCGTGCCAGACACATACCTGAATGTAGGACTTTGATTTTCTCCTCTGCCTCCCCCAGTCTGGCTGCCAAAGTGATTTGTACTTCTTGAAGGCCCCTGTGGAGAGACCAGGGCAGCTCACGGTGGCCGGGTGGACAGGCATGCCTGGGCCCCAGGTCGGGCCCTATTTCGTGTCCTGGCCGCTGCCCACTCCTAACCTGCGCCTCTGTCTTCCGACCCAGTCCTTAAACACAAAACTGGCCATCCTGCTGTTTGGCTGGCTGTGGGGCCCTATCATGGCTGGGGGCAGAAACTTAGTAGCAAGGAACCTCACCTCCTTGGGCCGCTGTTTCCTCATCTGTACAACAGTGTTTCTGACGGGGTGTTGTGAAGCCTGCTTGGCATGGGGTTGGTGCTCTCTGCCCTCAATATCACTCATTACTGTCCTAGAAAGGCACGTGTATCCCCTCCTTTTTTTTGAGTCGGGGTCTCACTCTTTTTTTTGTTTTTGTTTTGAGTCAGAGTCTCACTCGGTCGCCCAGACTGGAGTGCAGTGGCCGCTCCCGGCCACCGCAGCTTCGACCTGCTGGGCTCCAGCGATCCTTCCGCCTCAGCCTTCCGAGTAGCCGGAATGATTTATTGTAGAGATGAGGTCTGGCTGCCCAGGCGGGTCTCGAACCCGCGGGCTCAGACAATCCACTCACCTCGGCCTCCCAAAGCGCGGGATTACAGGCTGAGCCACCGAGTCCGGCCGGGGGTCTCACTCTTTGGCCCAGGCTGGAGTGCAGTGGCACGGTCATGGCTCACCGCAGCCTCAATCTCCTGGGCTCAGATGATCCTTCTGCCTCAGCCTCCCGAATAGCTGGGACTCCAGACACACACCATCATGCCCAGCTAGTTTTTTGTATTTTCAAATTTTTTTTTGTAGGGACAAGGTCTTGTGATGTATCCCAGGCTGGTCTCGAACTCCTGGGCTCAAGCTCTCCTCCCACCCTGGCCTCCCAAAGTGCTGGGATTACAAGTGTGAGCCACTGTACTCGGCCCATTTGTTAGTAATAAAAAAAAGTCCTACCGGTTCTCTGTCTCTGAAGAATGCTGACTAATGCACCCTCTTTTTGTTTTTGTTTTTTTTTAGAGTTGGAGTCTTACTCTATTGCCCAGGCTGGAGTGCAGGGGCACGCTCATGACCACCCAGCGTCAACCTGCTGGGCTCCGGCGATCCTTCCGCC